CGCAAAATATAACTCTGTGTTCAGAACTAAGCTCACTTTTTGGTTGCCTGAGAAATCCTAGCAATTTTCCACCAAGGATGTAGCATGCTTCTACTGCGATAAACCTCTCACTAGCCTTTCTTTCTCCTGTTATTAAATTTGGGCAACACAGCAGTATGTTGATATTTGCTCTACATAAAAATAATTGAGTCTTATCCTCTCATTTATGATGTGGTAGTAAACCAATTTATATTAACCACATTTAGGTAATGACCAGAGCACCAGAATGATTACTGTCTTAAGTAGATCCATTTGAACTTTCCTTTAGAGCTATGGAGTGTGTTTCCAGAATTGTCCTGCAATATGCATACAGAATTCGACATCTCTGTTGATCTTACTAGGATATTCAGCTTCTCCGGTAGTAAAACATAAAGTTTTCTTTTCTAATCTACCTGTTAAAGAACGGGATTTGTCTTTTTTTTTTTTTTGCCACGCTATTTTTGAGCTTGATGCTCAATCTTATTCTGACTCAAAGGCTGGAGGGGGGCGGTCCTGATGCTCCAGATAAAAAGGATGAATCTGACTTGTTTTTAGAATCTGACCTGGACCTCTCCAAAGGGGGAGAAGAATGCTCCATAGATGCCAAACACAACTGTGTCTCTTAAAGGAAAAACTCATTCTCTGTTAGAAGAGAAATCGGTCGGTCCTATGAACTTCCTATGCCTGAATTCCACACTGCTGAAGTCACAGTGGAGTCCTGAGGCATCTTGATGGAAAGTGATTGCCTGCCTGAATTTCTCTCTGAACAACCTTCCAGCTGTTGAGAGTTCTCTGCTGGACTGGGATAGGTGCCATGCAACAATTGCGTGGTTAGCAACATCCTTCTTAAAGGAGCCTCACAAGACAATGGAGAACCTGTCGGTTCCTTTAATTGGACAGCGCTCCCGGAGCAGTGTCGTTTCTGGATGTGGTTCCTGGGAATGTTTTCCCATCTTTAGGAATTTGTTTCCCCTACCTGTAATTCTGCTGAGGTGGACAGTGTGAATAGCAATATCGGATTACTTCTCTGCTCCTTTGGTCTAGGACTAGGTCTAGGTTGACAAATTATGGCGGACAAAGGCCACCAGACAATCTGATGCAATGCCAGGGCTTGGCCAGTCTATGTCAAAGAGGAGAGAGATCCTAAGCTCTAAGTAGGATCCCATTGCTTCCCTCTAGAAAAGTGATCCGATTCACCATGTTTGTGCATCTGTAGCTAGCAATTGGGCTGTTGAGGCATAATCTAGAAGTGAAATTCTGAATCTTTCTTCCACAAGGACTGTCCCTTTGAAGTGAATATTTCAGAGTAAAATTGCTGTGGTCCAGTTTGAAGAAAACACTGAGTTTTGGAGTGCCTGGGCCACACGGGGAGGCTCTGCAGTAAAGTAGTGCTGCTCGAACCCAACTCATGAATTGGGCTAGTTTTGAAGGCTACATAGAAAGTACAGATGGCTCAAAAATACCTCAACAGAGTAACACCTATTCTATGGGAGCTGCACTGGCTTCCAGTGTATTTCTGGGTACCATTCAGAGTCATTAATTACTGTAGTTCATAGGAGTGTAAGGATACAAGAATAGAACATCTGTGCCTATTTTTCCGATCCTTTGTCTGCGACAGGATTAATTATGCCTTACCAAGTTTAACTAGTTTTTTATTTTTCATTCTTCCATCTTCAGGAATTTGCATTTGAGAGGCTAGTAAACAGATTATTTGCAACTTTGGACCATGATGAGGTTCAGAGAGATAGAGCCCAGCAGTGGGTCTTTTTCTAGATAGTCACCCAGTTCCCTGAAGCCAAGGAATCTCATCTAATCTCATACTACCTGGGAGACATTTCCAAAGCAGAATAAACCTCAGTGTGATTTTTGTGTCTGTAGAATAAGAGGAAATGTGGAAATGTCTCCAAAGGTCAGAGTGGCAAGCCAGATGGCTGTGTGTGGTGTATCTGTTGTATAGCATCAGGAATAGGTGCTGTGTTTCAGACCGCATGCGCTGGGCTACCTATCTGGTTGGGGTCTCTAGTGTGGTGTTCTTTTAATGCTGATCTCTGTGAGAAGCCCAGTTACTGTCATGCAGGCCCTTTTTATATTTGATAATGTCAAATGTTTGCTTCCCCAGCAGATTCCAAACAGGGCAAATCTACAACTGGTTGTGGCTGTCCCTGGTCACGTGACCACGACTCATGTTTTTTGCCATTTTCTGGCAAAACCCATTTAGGGGAAATTGGCTTGCTTAATGAAAAAGGCTGGAAAATTGCTTCTGGTCACATGGGTGCCTCGATTTACGACCGCAATGATTTATGATTGTAATTTCCAGCTCAGTCAAGGTTGCAGGTCCAGGGCTTCCTGTGTGAACATGCAACAACTGGTCAGCACAGCAGGGCATGACAGACAATATCTGGAAAGCCAGCGAAACCATCCTTTCTATGGCACTTAGCATATTTGAAGCTTTTCAAAACATAATTGAAACCAGCAAATCATCCTTCATGCACCTCCCTTCGTCAGATGTCGGTCACGCCACTGTGTCTTGGAGGCTGCATCTCACGAAACCTTGTCTCTTGTCAGAAAGCCACAGACCGAGGCTCCTCTCCTCCTCTCACATCAGCCGCGATCCCATTGTCCACTTTGTTGGTTGATTGGCCTGGTTCTCAAAAGAGGGCAGCCAGATCGAAAGGCTGCATTCTGCAAGGATAAAACTCCCCCTCCAGGACCTTTGCTGTCTCCTTGTCCATTAAATTCAGAATCTTTGAAAGGAGCTGTAATTTTTTACCAGCTTGTTGATGGACAGACTGGAAATTGAAAGTATATTGTTTGCAGTGAAAGCCCAGCCAAAGATGGGCAACTATGGCGACTTGCGGAGTTCAACTCCTAGAATTCCTGAACCAGCATGGCTGGCTCAGGAATTCTGGGAGTTGAAGTCCACAGGTCATAAAGTTGCCGTAGTTGCCCACCCCGGCCCTAAGCGGAAAGCGAATGGTCATATCTGTGAGTGGGAAAAGTGGACTTTCAGCCCCAACCAGAACAGGACTCCCGAGCCTGGAATTGCTACGTGGGGAAACATAGAGTGAAGGCTGAGGCTGCAGGAAGGCAGCTTGGGAAGAATCGTGCTCTTCCTTGACCTGCATTCCTTCAATCAAAGGCTGTCTTTGTTCTTGTTGCAAATTCCTCCTTGTGTAGACTCTGTTCGCATCGGCAGTGTTCCTTTTCAATGCTGGGGAGAGACGGGGCTCCCCTTTTTTCCTGTTAACCTTGAGCTCTTTTCCAAAACGCAGCCTCGCAGCAGAGGTGGTGGTGAGGAGGGGGTCCGAGAGAAGCCCACCTAGATGGCTGCTGGAGGGAGGAGGCTCAAGGCAAGCCAACCCTTTCATGCCCCCACAAATACAGGGAGTGTTATGCTCACTTCTGATAGCGGCCAGCCGCAGGCCTGTGTGCCCTTTGGATGCAAAGTCTTTGGGAATCCTCAAGCTGTAGACCTGGCTGGGAAGTTTAAACAGTTTTGGAAGGAGGCAATAAACCCATTTCCGTATTATTGCTAAGAAAATTCACATCCTTCTCTCTGCGGTCAGGAGACATCGAGCTCCATTCTCAGAAAACCTTCACTTTGCCCTAATTGAGAGGGGACATTCTGTTCTGCGGAAGCATTAATCTTGCTTGACTCAGAAAAGGGTTGGCTGATACAAGCTCAGTGCAGAAGCCCAGCTGTTCCCTTCTGGAGCCCCTTGGGCAGCGGGACGGTCAGTGCCGTTCTTTCCAGGTCTTGGCCTAATTCCACCACTTTTGCCCAGGGCACGTGGGAGTCCAGCTTCTGCTGGGGAAGCACTTGATGCTTTCTGGAGTTTACCTTTTGAATGCACGGGGCAGGGCCTCCAACCTGGGGGAGCCTCTGCTGTGTTTCCGCGGAATCTGCTGTTCTGAAAGGCTTGGAAGCTGTAGAGAAAAACGTGGGGACCTTTCACTGCACACATATTCATCCTGATCCGTGTCTGCCTGCCAGATCGTTGGCAGGCCATCAGAATTTGCAGTTGCTCTAGGAGAGGTGACCAACCAAGGCCTTGAGTTTAAGCATTCCCCTTAAAATTAAGCCTTCTTTTAGTGCAGTGTTTCTCAGAATGGTGGACTTCAGCTCCTAGAATCCCCCAGCCAGCCATGGTGGCTGGGGAATTCTGGGAGTGGAAAACCAGCCATCTTCCGGCTGCCAATGTTGACCAACATTGGCCTAGTGGCCCAACAAGGCATTCAGACAGACACTCCAATGTGCAACTCTGTATTTGCTTGCGGAAGAAAACAGTCAAGCTGCTACCAGTCTCAAAATTTCAGCTCTGCTCTCCGTTGGGCTGTTTCGCGTGTCTTGCAACCTGCTTCTCCGGAAGCAGCAACCAGTCAGCAGACCTCTGGTGGGAATGGATGCAGCAGCACACCACTTCCTGTTGCTGAAGGGAGGAAGCATCAGTGGGTGGTTCACGACAGCCCCTTGCAAAGAGCTGCAAGATTTAGTAAGACTTTCCATTGTCGCCCTGAAAGGAAAAAGAAAAGAAAAGAAAACTACGCCAGGCCTCACGCTGGAATCCATCCACTGGGTTATAGAGATATTTAAACCAGCTGAGCTCTGGGGAATTATCCAAAATTCCTTTTGTAGCTACAAAATTGTATATTTCTTTTCCCTGCGTGTAGACAAAAACATATTTGTGGGTACAACTGCATCTCTGCATTTGCAAAAAAGGGATGTTAGGCAAGGTGGAACTGTAGTTTAATTTGAGTTCTTTATATCCCCAGTGGAACTGGGGTTACCATTTATTTAAACAGAGACTTTTGTTTTGGAACAGTTCGGACAGAATTCACTTAATTAAGGGTGGTGGAGATTTTGGTGGGTTTAATCCCGAAGGTGCTTTGCTTGTTCTGAATTCTCGGGTGCGGGAGAGCGTTGCAGCAAGACAGAACAGAGCCCTAATGTGATTCCCCTCCTTTTTATTTTTTCTTTTTAGGAATTGACTTTAAAATCAGAACAATAGAACTAGATGGGAAGAAAATCAAACTGCAGATATGGTAAGTGATCAAAACGCAACTGGCTTGCGGACACAAGTGGGAGCTCCCAGAGTGGAGGTCTTCCTTTCTGAAACTCCATGCAAAAGTATCTTTGAAGACGTCAGAGCTGGGCAGCGTAGCCTGAGGCCTCTTTGGGTGTGGCAGAAGTTTGGCCTTCTTGACTGTTTTGGACTTTGTCCAAGATATCTGGATTTAAAGCTCCATTTAATCAGCATTTAATGGAAATCAAACCGAGTGAGGAGAACGTGCACAAGGCCTAACCTCAGGGAGGGGGTTACTTGGGGGGGGGGAAATCAAGGCTTGACCTGCAAGCTGCATTCTAGAACCTTTTGGCTTGTCAGAGCCTTGGGTGGGGTCGGCCTTCAGTCTGCAACTCGGTTGGGTTCGAGGCTATGCTCAACCCGATTGTGGGTAGAGTTGTGTGCCAGCCAAGCAAAAAGTGAAGCAGTGTTGGGGTGCTTGGGAAGGGGATGAAGCATGATTTCCCCTCTTCCCCCCCCCCCCCCGGCCTCAGTTTGATGATGTATCTTGCTTTTCAGGGACACAGCGGGCCAGGAGAGATTCCGCACCATCACAACAGCCTATTACAGAGGTGCCATGGTGAGTGTGCATTCTCAAGCTTGCTTTTGTGAGAAGTTCACTTAAACTCACCCCTCTGCAGCCCATTTTCCACGGCAGGCCAGCCACGTGTGGGCTTGCTCTGGAGGAGCAGAGTCTGGGGTCCTGCCTTTCTCGAGTTCTCCCCCCCCCCCAGGCCCATAAGGGTGGCATCAGTAAGAAAGGTTGAGGTTTCACGAGCAGGAAGGGAACTGCGAGCAACCTGTGACTGTGGCACTTCCCAAGTGCTTTGCCACCTCTCTGAGGTTGCGGAGTGGCTGTTTACAGCTGCTGACTTTCTCTCTGGCCAAACCTGGGAAGTAGCCGATGAACACACTGCAGAAAAAGTGAGAAATGGTTGACGCAGAAGCGGAATCTTCAGGAGGCCATTAAAGCTTAGGAGTGGGTTCTGTGGGGAAAAGTAGGGCCTGAATGCATTTGGGGGGAGGGGGGAGGCCCTTCTGCCTTCCTTCCCAACAGCCAGGGCCTTTCAAGCTGCAGCGGAAGGATCCGGAGGTTGGAGCACAGAGGAGGGGAAGCATTCTGCTTCTGCCTTTCCAGGGGGCTTGCCAGGGTCTCGGACTGAAACCAAGAGGTCAAACTAGATCTTTGATGAAATTGCTGCAACAGAAGAAAAGGAGGCGATGGCTGCGTCTGAAGCCTGGCTTTTTAATTTGCGGTGAACACCTCAGTTAACAAACTTAGATATCCACCGTTGACCTGGGGATGGTTGAGGGATGAAGCTTGTTTTAATCAACGCAGAAAGATCCGTTGTAGCCACTGTGGAGTGATGGTGGCTGCACTCTTTGTTTTTCCCCCAGGGGATAATGCTGGTTTACGATATCACCAATGAAAAGTCTTTTGACAATATTAAAAACTGGATCAGGAACATTGAAGAGGTAGGTGTGCCTGGAAGGGAAAGAGACGTGGGGGCTTTTGCATGGTCCCATGTAGACAAGTCACAGAAGGGCTGGGGGAGGGGAGAAATAGATTGATTCTTTTTTCTTGGGAGAGACTAGCTGAGGACCCCCACCGTGGAGCTTTTCTGTGGCAGAAAGCTAAAACAAGGACCAGCTAACACAAAGGGGGACTCGGAGTTTGTGCCTGCAGCTTCTCCGTGCTTGAGCTTCCATTGTCTGTTTTTTCTCCTTGAGTCACGGCATTCCAGATTTCCTCTCCTGTTGGCAGGAATCCTGCTCAGGTTTGGGCTGGGCCCTCGCTCGTTTCCTCTCCTCCTCCTCCTCCTCCTCCTCCTCCTCCTCCTCCTCCTCCTCCTCCTCCTCCTCCTCCGAGTGCTGAAGCTTTGTTTACCCCTGGGTGCAGCCTGTGAGCAAAGCAGACTTTAAAAGGAGGGCTTTACAAAGCTCAGCCTCCAGGAAGATAATTTTGGACAGAGCCCCTCCCTCCCTCCCTCCCTCCCTCCCTCCCTCCCTCCCTCCCTCCCTCCCTCCCAAGGCTTTGGGTTCAGAACATGGCAGGGCATCCTAAGGCTGCTTTTTTAAACTCCCGTTTCTTCACCCAGCACGCTTCTTCGGATGTGGAAAGGATGATCCTGGGCAACAAATCTGACATGAATGAGAAAAGGCAAGTTTCGAAGGAAAAAGGAGAAAAGGTAAATCTCATGAAAACAGTTTCTAATATCGGAGCTGCCTTTTTCTTGGGGGGGGAGGGAGGAACAGTGGCAGTCTGCAGTGGCAAAAAATCAGGAGGGTTTCGGCAGCCTCTTTCCTGACAAGTGTGATGAAGGAGCAGGAGCTTTCTTGAACTGCGGCCTTTTCATAAAATTAGTTAGAAAGGGGCCGCCAGAGCCTCCACCCCATTTTGTCTTCAGAGATAGTTTTGCAGACAGGTTTCCTTGTTCCCCAGCTGAAGAGTGTAAGAGGTCCAAGTGTCAAAACTTGCATTCAGACTTTCCATTTATGGAATCGCTGACTCTGATTGCTTGTTGAAATCTTCATATTGCAGTTAGCAATTGACTATGGCATCAAATTTCTGGAAACCAGTGCAAAGTCCAGCATCAACGTGGAAGAGGTAAGCACAGCGTAGATGCCAGCAGCCGTGAAGCTGACGTCTCAGAGAGCGAGGGGGAGCAGGACCCCCTCCCTCTCTCTGCCTCTCAAGCATTTCAAGACCTGCTTGCCACTGCTTGTCTGAGGACCGTAAAGTCTGTCCCTCTGTGGCCGGGACTCGATTCCGCTCCCCCTGGCCTCTTCAGTGAAAAGGGGGCGGTGGGGGACGAGAGCCAGCCCATCTGTGTCTCCTCACCTGGCGGCCTCCTGAGTCTTGTCGAAGGCTGGCACCCGGGGGACCAGCCCTCCCCCCTCCAGGGACAGGCTCCATCTGCTTGTTGGCTTTGTCCTTCCGTGGTAGAGAGCAGATCCCTCGACTCTTCTGCAGGGCTTCTGCCTTCTGGGGGGCAAGGCTGATGCCGTACAACTCCTTCTTGACCCTCCTTAGCAACCCCCTCCTGGCATAAACCTTTCCCACCCCTCCCTGGCAAGGGTGGAATGCCAGCAGGGGTGTTTGGGGAGAAAGATTGATTTCTGGTTGGAATTCAAAGCTCAAAATTTGAGAAAGGCAATTGAAGGACTTCATTCTGCACTCCAAAGTAATTGCCTGAAGTCCACTGGAGTTGGGTGGCCTATCAGTTTAAATTTAATAATTTAATTAATAAATTATCTGGATCTCATTGTATCTTTTCTCTTCCTTCCAGGCTTTCTTCACCCTTGCACGAGATATTATGACAAAACTCAACAAAAAAATGGTTGGTTTCTTTTGGTACTAATATATCCTGATTAGCGTGGCTTCTGCACTTTGCGGGGACTAAAAGGGGTTGCTGGCCTAAGCAATTCAAAGCTTAACAGCCAATCAAAATTCTCCCTAAAAGAGCAGCATCTGACCATCTGTGCTGTCCAGCTGTGGAGGGATTGGGAGCATTGAATCGGTCAGTCACCGCCTTAATGAGCCCCTCACCTCACCTGGTACAAAAAGAGAACACACACACACACACACACACACACACACACACACACACACACACGGTGCACTCCAGCCACAGTCAAAATTAACAAGCAAAAACTAACAACAGTTGGCAAGGCAAAGATTTATTTGATCAATGATCCGGACAGTAAAAAGCCAGGCCCAAAATGGCATTACAGTAATAAAGCATAATGAACAACCATTTCAAACTATGTGAAATTCCAATGGGAGTTAAAATTACACAAAGGCAATAAAATCAATGGACACTATGATATATTTACATTACAGTAAAAAAAACCATTTTCATATGTTACACACACATATTACGTTATGTATCTGTAAGCTCTAAACTTGAAAACGTGACACCCCAGCTGTCAGATGGCTGCAGAGGTTGACAGCCCATCAGCCCCGCCCTCTGCTTTCAGCATCTCTTCCTGCCACCTCCAGCAGCTGCTCCGCTTTATTCAGTGGGTACATTTGGAACCCTATCTGATGGAGGTCAGACGGTCCTCCTGGATTGCCAGCAGGGGGACCCGAACTCAGGACTAGGCCGGCAATCCTTGGGATGAACAGGCCTGGCCTGACTACGCAGCCTTGAGCTCTTCCAATCTGCCTGTAAAGATTGTGGATTTCCCTCCGGTTTGCCCAGAAATTAATTTGTATTTTGAAGGTGAGGATCAGGCCAAAGCGTTGCGCAATCTCTCAGCGAGACCTCCCGCACAACCGTCTTGAAACACGGCAACTGCGGCAAATAGTTGTGTGAGCTTGCAAAAGGATTGCTGGTCTCTGCCTTCTCCTTCCCTTTCAGATCAAGAATTGTATTCTTTTGATTTTCCCAAATGTCCTGGACTGACTGTGGACAAACCCAAAGTCGTCATCTTTTTCACTGGCTCCTTCAAACTAAAACATGTAATTTCTTTTCCCGATTGTTCCCCGACCTGCCAGATAATAGAAAAGGCCACGGGTAGCATCCATGTGCAGGAAGCATGATCAAGTGGGGCTTCTTCCTGCCCAACAGAGATTTACATAAGCATTTTCCATGGCTGCTTCCGTCACAATGCTGGCTGATGTCTTCGTTGGTACTTTCTGAACTCCTGACATTTTTCTGAATTTCATTTGAATTACATTTCTCTCCTGTTTCAGGAAAAAAAGGGAAAAGTTATGGAGTTTTTTTTAAAAAACCAGCTGGTACCCTGGCAGAGTTTAAAAAGAAACCTACAAATAAGCGCTTGGACCGGGCAATCTCCTAGCTGCTTTCCCTTGGAATTTGAGGGTGTTTCGCCTCTTAATAACCTGCCCTCCTTTTCCTTCTCGCCTCTCTCCCTAGAATGACAACATTTCGGCAGGGGCAAGCGGGCCCGTGAAGATCACAGAGAACCGGTCGAAGAAGAGCAGCTTCTTTCGATGCACGCTGCTTTGATGAACTTCTCCTAAGAGACTGCAGCATACCTAGAACAAAAAAATACCTTTTCCTGCTTCTCCGAAAGCACAGGCTCCGCCCGGCTGCTGCTGAGGGCTCTGCTTGGACCTAGAATGGGCTAAACCAAGATAATGGATGGAGACTCTCTCTCTGTTGACTGCCATCGTCTGTCTCCCCCTCCCTCCGAGACGTGGAAGCTGTGAAGTTGAGAGACTCCTGCCTGCCGGAGCTCCGTTTTCTTTCTTTCTTTCACTGCCTGCTTCAAAAACTGCTGAGTATATTCTTTGCACATTTCTGTTGTCCTCGGTGGAAAGTTGGGGCCGAGGCAGAGATGCCCAGTGGGTTGTTGGTTGGTTGTCCAGTCACTCTAGGAGCCCTCCTTACAGGCTTTGTCTGCTTCATTTTCTTTCCTCTCCAGCGACTGCAAACGTCTTTGTTTATCAAGGGCATGATCCTGTCCCCCCCCCAGGGGCAGCTAGGGCCTCCGGGGTGGGGGGAAGAGGGGGGGCTCTGCTATCTGAAACAACAGTCCATCCTCCCCTCCTTCAGGTGCAGATCGTTGACCTCCGGTCCAGGCAGGAGGACCTAGGGCTCTGCGGCCTTCAAAGGGGAATTGGGCCTTGTGGGAAACTGGGGTACACGTACGGTGGGCACACGTTCTGAACCCAGGGATGCCAATAAACAATGCCACCATAATGTGGAGGTGGGAAACTCAAACCACTTAAAAGCTCCTGTGGGGTTCAGATGGTTTAACAAATACACACACCTGTGTCGGTCGAAATGAATTTGCTTTTCTGGTGCAGGAGGTTCCCTTTCTGGGTCCTGGATGTCCCCTCGCTCTTGTTCCTTAATCTGGCTCTGCGGAGACTTCGGGTCTGCTTCCTGGGGCATTTGGTTGAACCCAGGGCCCGGTTTTCCTCCCTGCATGAGGTGTGGTGACTCTTTGAACGCTGATAGAGAAGGCCGGGCGGGCGCAGCCTGGGTCCCTGTCGAAAGGCAGCGATGACTTGACGAGGACTTTCCTTGGGTCTTGAAGACGCAGAGCTTTAAGCAGACTGACACTGAGCTGCCTTTTCCATTCCGGGCTTGGTGTGTGATGCCGCAACCGGACTCCTCTGAACGGGTGCTTTGCTTTTATTGACGTGCCAAACCAACGCGGGGCGGCTCCTGCCTCCCCCACCTGCCCTGGGAAGCGCTGCCTTCCCACAGTCCACTCTGTTCACCGTACAGGATTTCATTCCTGAGCACTGACCTCAGTCTTGTTACCTGAAGCAGGTGAGCTATTTTGGCAGGCCTTCCTGTCTTCAGCTCCTCCATTGGGCCCTTCGGAAATGGCTGTGATGCCCCCCTGAGGGTCAGCAAGTGGGCAGAGTCGGCCTCATCCTCCCTTCAGCCCAAACGGTGCAGTGCTTTCTTTGAGATGGGGGGGGGCTGTATCCACAGGGCGTGCCCACCCTCAAATCCTCCCTCTCAGGATTGTCATGAAACCCAAACTGTCGTTCAGTCTTTCCTTCCCTTGGCTTTCCTCTTGGTATCCTTTTCTCCCATATCTTGGGTTCTGCCAACAGACGCTTCGTCTCTGAGAACATTCCCTCGAGAGAGCCTGCAACTAGTTGGAATGTTATAAAGTGCTTTTTGAAGCAGCAGCATATTGGGGTATCTACTCTGTTTTATTAAAAAAAATGCTATTTTCTTACTTCTAGCTGTGCTACAGTGTACATAATTTGAGTAAGACCATAGGAAATTCACTTTAAGTTTGGTGTTGTAAGGTTAACACACAATTAACTTTCCTTTATAATGTTAAAGTTTAGGTTTTGTTCCTGTCGGTTGTTTAAGGACAGAATTATTTCTTCCCTGCTGGATTTTTTTTAAGAGACCGTCACCTGAAAACAACCTTAGTCTTAAGGAAGAGGAATCACCTCTGCAGCCACGTGAAGGCCAAGGTGCCTGCTGATTTTCCCCCCGCCCTGGCTCCCTGGTAGGGAAAGCTTCTCAAGAGCGATCTGTTGCCTCTTCTCCTTCTCCAATCTGGGTGCTCCAGATGTGCCGGGCTGCTGTTCCCATCACTCGGGGTTGGCTGCAGCACAGCACATCTGATGGGCAGCCAGTTGAGGAAAGGCCAACAGTGGCGGTGGGGTTGACCTCCCCTCCTTCGCATGAGCAGAGCAGGCCCCTTGCAAAGCGGGGGCCCTCAGAAGCCAACCCTGGCTAGCACTGAGGCCCACCCCGGAGGGCTCCCTGCCTCTTCTGGCCCTTCTTCAGGGGGGGGCATCGGACCTTGCTCCCCGTGAGAGGAGGGCTTGAGTCCTGCCCCCGTCCTGGGAAGGGAAGGCAGCCCGTCCGTCCTTTCATCACGGCCGTCTTCTTCTCTCCCACTTTAAGGATTCTTAAGTGTTACCTGCCCAGTTCCACCTCCAGGCTCCGGGGCTGCATGTGAGGGAGGCCATAAAAAGAAACTTCTGAACTTACATCTTATGTATAGTCCCTGTATAATATTTGCCAGCTTTTTTTTAATAAATGGGGTATGTACACGTACCAAGCGCTTTCCCACGTCTTATTTTCAGAAAGAATAAAATCCATTATGACTGGTAGCCACCTTGGTATGTTGCGCTGAATATGTCTGTCACTCATTTGGTTAGAGTTTGCAAGGCTTTCAACTGCAATTAAAATGGACAAAGGATTTGGTAATTAGAGAAATGCTGAAATGGGAAATGTTGTAAGGTCAAATATACTGAAATGGATCTCTGCATTGGTATTGCCGTATTCTAATGTTATGGTTTAATTTTTCTAAAAAATTAAAATAAATTACATTCTAGAGTAAATCACAATTAGCAGGAAAGTTACACAACTTCTGGAAAACGTTGAGTGCATTCCTGTGGCCTTACAGATGACTTTATGTACAAATGAAATTTAATCCAATATTCTAAATTTGTATGGTCCCAAAACAGACTAATTTTTACCTAGAGTTATATCCAAAGGCCTAACTCCTGTGTTCCTTGAAATCTCCTTCATTTCTTCTCCTCTGCAGCAGGCAGAGGGGAGGAACGGCTAGCAGGAGGGCGCCCCAGAATCACTCAGACGAGGGTGGGCCAGAATGGCATTTGGACAGCACCACGTGGCCTCTGGTATTCTTCCACAGCTTTGCCTTGTGGACATGGGGGGAGGTGCTGAGGAATTTGGGGAGCTGCAGTCCCAAGAGGTTTACAAGGATGCTGTTGGATGGACAGACTGACCCGCCTCTGGAGCCCACCAGGGGGCAGCAGAGCACTGGTCCAGCCACTCAGCTGGCTTAGGACTAGCTTACTATCAGGCACTCTGCTAAGTCTCGGTGAGGTTGTCTCCCTTTAAATCATAATGTGGTTGGTTGTGGCTTAGGATGATGATGGGACCTTATTGTGGTGGCTTGTAAGCCATGGGTGAGCTCAACATTCTGCACGCCAGGGTCCTTGGATCTTCCCTGCCAGCACTGGCAGGTAGGTGGAGCAAACTGTCTTGCAGTAGTGTGTGTAAATGATGTGTATTACACATACTGATTGTTATTTATACACAAAATCAGCTTCGCTTTTTGTTTTGCTTGGGTTTTGAAAAGGATGGCTTTCCTCAAAAGGAGAATCCTTTCTAGTGGCTGCAAACCATCCACCCTTGCTCCTCTTTTGCCCTCACATTACACTTTTCTTTCAACTTCATTGACCTTGGTTTTCTGCCTGCTCCAAATGTGAATTGTGGTTAGCTTCCATAAGGCTCTGTAATCATTATTAATGCTATTGTGCTCTATGTTTAATCCTTGTGAAAACACAAACGTACATTTTAAATCTTGGCTGGGGAAAAAGGACCGCAAAGCCTGTGTTTGTCTGGAACAAGTTTTTCTTTAAGGCATGTGGACCTCAACTTAGGCTGGGCAATTCCCCAGAGCTGGCTGGGGAATTCTGGGAGTTGAAGTCCACCCATCTTAAAGTAGCCAAGGTGGAGAAATACTGGCCTAAAGACCTGACCGTGCTTCACATTTTCAATTCTGCAGTCGCCTTGCTTGCTTTTTGCTGGTTGGATTTGAAAAAGCTTGTGCTTCATGTTACCTGGCTGAATGTCCCACCTTGTGGAATAAAGGAGCTGTCTGCATATAAAACGTCCAGTGGGGCAGCCCAGCTCCTTTGGCACTCTTATCAGGTAAGATGCACTGAGTTGCTTTGAAATGAGCCAGAGGAGCAGTGGCTTTCACCCACTCCGCTCCTTGAGAAAAGCGTATCCTGATTTCATCGGCTGCAGTCCCTGAGTGTTGGAAAGTGCTTATTCTGGAGGTGGCTGCAGCCAAGGGTGTAGCTGTGTTGGAGAACTGTACCTGTTTCCTTTTCTCACTGACATCCAAGACATGGTCTCAAACCCTTTAGGTGGCTATTTTGGTACCTTTAGCTACCAATTTTGATGTTAAAGTCTCTGTTGTGGTTTACGAGTGCTGGAGAGCTTGATGGATAGTTCAGAAAATACAAAGTGTAAATATAGTCTGGCTCTCAACCAAGTTCACTTGGTTTTTCTCAGTACATTTGTGTGTGAGAGAGAGACATAAACTCAAAGCTCTTAATAAAAATATTTATTGTATGATGATACATAAAATTGCACATTATCTATAAGAGACTTTCATCATAATAGACTTCAAACCGGCAACTTCCCTATAAGTCACTGTAGGAAGGAAACAAGGTGCTTGGAGCCCTCAAATAATATTAGTTCCCCCTAATTTCAGAGTAGATAGTATCAGAGTATTCATTTGACCTTCGCTTTGCTCATTAACTACTTGGACTAGCTGCCTTCAGCCTGGCACTGTTCTTAAAACCTGAGATGCATGGTCTTCAATTCCAGAGATGCAAGTACAGCACAGAGCCACAATTCGACATCACAGGATAAGCCCCCATGTATTTCTTAGAAGTCATGCTTGATATAGCTTATTTTAGACTTAAATAGAAGAGATTAAACAGATGTAATTCCTGTTAAAATCAGTAGGACTTCAAAGAGAACTGAACTACACATGCCTCTAAGACAAGGGTCTCCAAACTTGGCAACTTTAAGACTTGTGGACTTCAACTCCCAGAATTCCTCAGCCAGACATGCTGGGGAATGTTGAAGCCCACAATTCTTAAAGTTGCCAAATTTGGGGACCCCTGCTCTAAGACGTTAACTTGAATACTTAGGTATCCTGGTGATCTATTCCTAATATCAGCAGTAATTATTTTATGGGAACAGGAAGGAAATTCATCTATTCAGTAGATAAACAGTAGCTTTTTTTGAGGCAGATTATTATTATTCATAAATATCACATTTACATGCTATAATATTAAGCAAAGCCCAGAACCTCTCCTAGAAGTTATGTGATTTATTTTTAACGTCTGTCTCTGCCCATTAAAATCCAGTACACAAGGGAGCAGAGCCCTCTTTGCACTGGAGGGATCCAGAGACCCAACTTGGCTGATAAACATCAGAAGACAGATAGCAACGCTGTTAAGAATATTTAAAGTTGAGCATTACAGAGGTTTAAGCTTTGGAGATGTTCTCCTCCTCCTCTTCCTCCTTGGTGACTGCAGGCTTGTAGATTACCCCTTTCTCTTCCTTGGCCCTTTGGAGGCTGGGAAGGAGAAGCTGGAGTTAGCCAACATTGAGAGGCAGTTATGTCCCAGAGCTGTTGTTTACTGAGCCGGAGTGGCCGAAGTGGTGGCACTCCAGAGGACACAATAACAAGGAGATCAAAAGGGCTTATCTATTTTTGAGTGCAAATACATGTGACTTGTGAACTGTCATTCACCCCCAAAAGCTCATGCTGAGTGGACTCGAGCATTTCTCTCCTGGAGGTGGGAATTGTCCCTTCTGGTCAGGTAGTCTGGCACCTGATGCTTTCTTCTGACTCTTCTGCTTGGAAGAACAACCATCTCAGGAGTGTTCAACCCTGGGGCAAGTTTAAGACCTTTGGACTTCAACTTCCCCACCCTGGCTGGGGAAATCTGGGCATTCAAGTCCACAAATCTTAAAGTTGCCATGCTTTGATATCCTTAATGTAAGCCGAGGGTGATACCATTTCTGATGCCTCCCTGTCCTTCGTCTCCTTTGGAACCTCTGGTGAAATGTGTCCAAACAGCAAGCGATGGCCTTGCTTTCAGACCCAGGAAAGGGGAGGACGCCCGGGGACTGCAGAAAGAGCATTCGTTCTGGATCTTCCAAGGACCCAGGGGGATCAGGTCTGCTCAGGGGGCAGAAAAGTGTTAGCAGAGGGGATCCAGGACTCCAGATAAAGAGGAAGTGAAGCAGAAGTCTTACCTCTTCCTTCGAATCAGCCAGAAGGCCACCATGGTGATAAAGATGATGCCAAGGATGCCGGCTAACACCAAAAAGAGGACAAAACCTGCGGTGGGGTCAGATGGTTGGAGGAAAACACGTATTAGTTAGTCTTGCCAATAGGAGAACCTTCCTCCTTGGACCAGGTGCTAAAATTAGCCCCTGAAGTAAAACCCCAATGAGATAAGTAGCTTTCCTAGAACATTTCCCCGTGTACTTTTATTATGTGAAATAAAATGAAATAGCTGTGGAGAATTTGGAAATAGCCTGGCTCCAAGATTAAATAGTGGAATTGTGTGACTGAATGATTTGCTCAGCTCTCTCATTGTGTTAAGAAGGATGTGTGTGTGTGAGAGAGAGGGGGGGGGGAGAGAGAGAGAGAGAGAGATTTATAAGGAATGTGTAATTTGCATCTTTAGCAGTGTGCTAGGCCAGCTGTCTTTAGAACATGCAACAGAGGGTCAATCATATCTTACGAAGAAATCTTTGTAGTTTGTGAAGGTCTGGAACCAAAGACATGCTGCTTAAGCTTTTCCAATAGGTCATTCTGAATTAGTAAGGTTAATATTACTTGCAGGGCAGGAGGTTGTCTTGGAGAGGAGACAGGCAGGAGAACGTCAAGAGGTCAGTTGAGTCCAGATCTTATCAAAGCAACGGCAGTTGCAGATGGAAGAGATGGAAATCCCACTGAAGAACTAAGGAGGGTACTTTATGCCGAGCACCCTTGAGACAAACATACCTGGGCTGCGTTCACCTGGAGCTGGATCTTGAGAAAAGGAAGACACAAAGTGAGATGCAAAATCACAATGGTGTCACTGAATTTATTATTGAACAAAGGCGATTCTAAGGAGGATGACAATCTCCTGCCTCTGAATGGCAGGAAGGAAGAGTTTCACTCAGTGCCAATCCTGGGTGGCAGGAGAAGGAAGGGCAGCTGTTGACAAACTGGCAAAGCTGGAAGGGGAGGACAGCTGGGTCATCTTCTTGGCCACCCAAGCAGGTTTCTCTTGTTTTCCTAGAAGAGTGTTTCTCAACCTTGAGAGCTTGAAGAGGTGTAGACTTCAAGTCCAAGAATTCCCAAGAATGCTGGCTGGGGAATTCTGGAACTTGAAGTCCACACATCTTCAAGCTCCCAAGTTTTAAGAACACTGACCTACAACGACACCACCATTAGGATCTGTCCCTGTGGTTGGTAGGGCTTCCCAGGAAGGACCAGCCCAAGACCCTCGGCCACCCCGAAGCAGCCACTGACCTAGGTGGCCAAGGATCTTGGGCAAGTCCTGGCTGGGAAGCCCCACCAACCACATGGTAGACCCTGGTAGTGATCCCTTCATAGGTCAGTGTTTCTCAAACCAGCCGATGAGACTTCATTGCAGTAATCCTGCCTCACTGCCCAGTTTGCTGTGTCCCTTACTGAAAAGGAAACTCACAGCTTCGTCAACTGTGGAGCATAAACCATATTTCCAAATTTCAGCCGTTCATCATCTCCATTTAACCTCTGGGACATAAAACTATTAGATCCGTTTGGAATTTTTCCCCGCATTTCTTCATTTCTTTTAGTCCTGCTGATAGTCAAGGTAGTGCCACCCTTGGCTGAGCTCACCCCATCTGTTTCCAGTCCTTTTTTGTTTGGCTTTTCAAGCTAGTTCTTTTAGATTAAATAAATAATGAGGTCTCCACAGTCGCTCATTAAGAACTGTCTTACGGCAAAGGCAGGACGGAGAGACACTGGGAAGCTTGTTAATGCCAGCATCTTCAGGGTTGGTTCTTGCCTGGTGCTTTTAAAGCAGAGAAGTGACTTGCCAAGGCAAGCAGAGACCAGTTGGAGGCACAAAGAACTGGGCACGCTGTGGGTGTTGTCCTGGCACCCAAACCCTCCCCTGGGTCTTGGAGTTCCGGTGCTGGTTCTCACCTCCTGCCTGTCCTTGGAAAAGGGTGGACCAGAATCCAGAGGGTGCCTGGCGTTCTTGGGGTGAAAACATCACCGCTGAATCATGCTGGACACGGTGCCGGAAAGTCACTCCAAGGCATGTTTAGCAGCATAGGAGGGAGATGGCTTCAGTTGGATTCCAGTTTGGGGCAAAAAGTCAGCTTATTGGGGATGCACATGAGCAAATAGACAGAACGGACTGCTCTATGACTCCAGATAAAGCGCAGTTAGGCCTGGCCTACCAGCCTTGAAATCAAAGCTGAGAAGGAGATGCACTTCCTTAAGCCCGGCTCTGGAGTGTCTAGTTGGGGAGGGGATCCCTTCCGGGAACTGCTGGATTGTCTGCCCACCCTGCTTGGTACTCCCCAAAGCTCTACTGCCTGTCCTTTCCCCATGCAAAAATGTTTGGGTCCAGCCCCCCTGGTTTTCCCCAGAGCTCCAGGGTTCATTTGGACATGGATGGGAGCTGCTGCCCTGGGTTTAGGTTTGCCTGCCCGATAAACTGCGTAACGTTGGGACTTTAAAACGTGACACACAGCAGCTTTTTCTCCTCCCCTCCTTCTCTCTCTGCCTTGCATGTGTGCTGGGTGTGTTTGTGCAGTGTCCTAAGCAGGCAATCTCAGGAAGAATCAAGAACATTGCTGATCAAAGCTGCCACCTTGCCTTTTCTCTCCCACACACCAGAGCCCTGCTTTCTCTCGCAAGGCCCCCTCGTCTCCTCCTGGGGAAGCCCTGGGCCGCAGAATTGCCTCTGCAACGTTTCCTACGGGGCTGTGCAGCAGCTGTCTAATTCCACTTCAAAGTGTGTAAGGAGTGTATAACACAACTAGGATAGCCAACAGTGCTCAGCCCAGGAAGGTTTTCCTCACGGCCTCTGATGCTTAAAGGAAATACTCTGTACAAGCTTAGAGCAGAATTTATTGCAATTTGTGAGCACTGCAAACATAGAAAAGAATACAATAATCCGGAGTCTGCCCCTCAGCTGTTCTTTCCCAAACCAGTCATTGCTTGTATAAACATCACTATATTTCTATATACAGATATATTCAAACTTGTTTCAAGAAAAAATTAGCCATCTTTGTTGCTCTTTTGTTTTGTAAATTACAACTTCTTATGTACAACCCTAAGATTTCCAATCTGTTTTGCCAACAAGCCTCTCTTGGGAGGGACCATAATTCACTTCTGCCCATTGCATGTCTGCGATACACAGGTCGGCTCACTGTATGTTGTAAGTCTAGAAAATCAATGTTTCTCTACCTTGGTCACTCAAAGATGGGTGGACTTCAACTCCCAGAATTCCCAGATCCTGTGTAATTCTGGAGGTTGAAGTCCACCCATCTTAATGTGGCCAAGATTGAGAAAAACTGATCCAGGTGTACACTTAAAAAGGAGTAGCTCCATTGCCCCCAATCCTATTCTGTTCAGCAACACTTGAGGATGACTGAAGTGGGGACTATTTATATAGTCTCCCTGCCCCCCTCAAAAGAAACTACTCCATCACTGCTTATTCATAACTTTGCACAGGTCTAGCTCTCAGAACATTCCTATGTTTTCCTACTGTTTCTTCACGGCTGGGCTGGGCTGGTCTGGTGTTGTGTTTTGTTTTTTAACAAAGACCACTGTTGGGTCAGCCCTGCAACACCAACAAAGAGGCTTGAGGCAGTGGCTGGAGCTTCCCATTTCCCCATGAGATGGCTAATTTTTGCACCCATGACGGTGGATTTGGGCAACCCAGCGTGATGAGCCTTTCCTGCTTTTTACGTGTCAAACTCAATTTCTTGCAGAGCTTCGTCTGATCCTTTGAACCTCCCCAGAAAGAGTCTCCCTGCAAGGCAAAGTTGTGATTTCTTTGAGATGCACAAGAGATTGCCCTGCTGCTGCTGCTGCTACGGACTAAGCACCCTTGGTGATCCCAGGCAGATGGGGCAGTTTACAGGTCTAGGAAGAAATATTGTGCTAGATCCAGCAACTTAGGAGGGAAGAGGCTATCATATTTAAGACCTATTCCGTTGTTTCTCAACCGTGTCAACTTTAAAATACGTGGACTTCAACTCCCAGAATTCCCCAGCCACTACGGATGGCTGGCTGGGAAATTCTGGGAGTTGGTCCACACATCTTAAAGTTGACATGGTTGAGAAACACTGCTGATTGATCCAGAGAGCTGAGATGCATCCCTTGAACTATCCAGATGGGTGTGAATTTTGTTCCTCTGGTAGCTCTTTGCTCTCAAGTGCCCCTCCTGAGTTACAATGAACAAAGACTTCAGTACCCATACTGAATTTTGCTCAGATGCTTAAATCCTCCAGGGCAGGTGTCCATAATTTAGTGCCCTCTGAAATAATTTTTTAAAAAATTTTTACAGATTTTTCCGCCCCTCTTTCTCACAACTCCTGCGTTATAACAGATCAGTGACTGGGACTGTTTTAAAAAGCAGCATTGAGGGGAAACAAATATTTTTTTTCTTATATTTAAATGAAATCTACCCAGTCTATGTGGGACCCACCAGCCCCAGAATTTCATTCCTGGTTTTATCGAATTTGCTAAAGAACCTCTGATGACCAAGGACTGGGGGCCATCTGGCTGTCAACCTTCTATTTGGACACCTTTAATTCTAAGGTTGCTCTAACCTCTTTGTTCATTTCCAAGTTCATCCAAAAGTACCTTGTGATTCTGTGCCAATGTTATTGTTTTGAAGCCGAAGTTGGAATCCGTATTTTTAGAGTAAGTCTGCGGTATAATTAGCAGGCCTTGCAGACATAGCAGGGTGGACTATGCTTCGTAGTCTCCCACTTGGCACCCCCCGGGGTGCGAGGCTTGCCCAGCTGGCCTGTAAACTAAGTCTAACCCAGTGTCTCTGGAAATTCTCCATCATCTGGGTCATGGTTGTCCCAAAGGTGCTTTTTCCAAAAAGCAACTGGACTTTCATGTTTTTTTCTTTGAAAACGTTTCACTTCTCATCCAAGGAGCTTCTGCAGTTTTGACTGTAAAAGTGTTAGAACTGAAGAAGCTTCTTGGGTGAGAAGCAAAATGTTTTCAAAGAAAAAAACCTAGAAAGTCCAGTTGCCTTTTGGAAAAAGCACCTTGGGGATGAGTCTAACCCAACTTGGTCTCTAGTTCAAGTCAGCCTAAGCCGCCATCATGATAAATCTTCATGGCAGGGAGGCAGTTTCTCTTGCCTACCTTGTTGGAAGGAGACAGAAACCATCCTCTCGTCAAATTCCTGAACTCTCCGGAAGTTGTCCACCATTTCAAGAGGGGCGGGGTCGTTTGACTCTGTGCAGTAGAGGGTGGTTTCCAGCGCCAGCAACTGTGAGCAAAGCAGTCCATGGTTGGCTTTGGCATCTGCCCGCGGAGGGAAGCTACTTTCGGACAAATGAGTTTCCCCCGGTGAATTTTGCCATGCCTTACAGTGGGGGGGGGGGAGGGCTTGGACCATTGTCTGCAGTTGAAACAACTGTATGAAATTCTTAATACTGCAAAAAGTACAGTTAAGAAGAATCTGAATTGGTCTGCCTCTTATGAAGATAATGGACTATGGTAAAGTATACAAGTGGACGATATATTCATTCATTCATTCATTTTGTGGCTCCTAGTTAAGTTTGATAGTTTAATTTTTTAGAAATTAAATCCTGAAAGGAAGAAACATCTGTTAACAGGATCAACATTTACCAGGGCCCAAGAAAACCTGGAAAGCACTGGAGGGAGTTATACTTTTCTTCGAGTTACCTGTGAAATCACTTCTGTTCCCGGAATGTAATTTGTGTTTTATGGAACTTGCCTGTTCTGCTGAAAGTTCTACAGGATTTCGGAAAACTGTCCAGAGGACACTTGGATAGCATGGAGGTGTGGTCAAAGATCCTTCATAGCGGTAGTAGTCATTCAGTCTATCTGGGAGCAAATCTCGGACATTGAAACCTGGAACAACGGCATCCTGATCTGAAAGAAATCAGACGCTTCATCAGCTGGACTCCAGCAGTTTGCACCTGTCGACTTTGATTTTTGATGGAGCATTCCCTAAATATTTATCTTGCCCCTTTCTTTGAACTTTCAGATAGTTCAACTATGTACTCAGCCAACTTATTCAGGACTTTCTGCAGCCAGCCCTGGCAGCAGGGGGTTGCATCCAGCCAAGGAATCCAGATGTTTTGCTGTAAAGACCAAGGTCAGCCCAGCCAGTCCGTGTGGTTGCCTGCTGAAAATCCCTATGTGGCTGGACCACGCGGCTGATGTGCTGCTGTTGTCATCTGGACAAACACTGGAATTCAGAGTTTGTTTACTGTCATTTAGACAGAGAAAATAGGGATGGTGAGTCAGACAACCAGAAAAGAGATGAAACACAGAAAGGATGAAACACTGGCAGCAAGTATCTACAGCCTTGGCTGCAGCTTGCTTGTAAACAATTTAGTCTGTTCTGCCTCATTCTTGTATTTTGTAAGTCAGATTGGTAAATATGTGTGCGTGTATGTGTGTATACACACATACACATATACTGCAACTGCCTACATTGCAAATTAATCTGACACCAAAAGCAAGGGATTAATCGACGCTGTTCAGGGCCCCTTCTCAGTCACAAATCCTTTCCTACCTTTGTACTTCACGTGTTGGAAATGGCTGAAGATCTTTTCAAAGGATGGGTTGAATTCACCTTCCTGTAACGAAATGGACAGGGGTCATTTCCTATCTGAATAACCTTGCAGCTCCTGCCAAGCACACGTGGCTACTACCGGTGGGCCTCAGAGCAGAAAGTGGTTAGGGTTAGCGCTTTGATTGACACCTTCATTTGTTGAGCAAATGAAGGGCTGATCTTGTGGGCAGCAATGATTTCATTGCAGGGCAAATATACCCTCCTGACTTTACATCCACTTTTAGGGAGTCCTCAGCTGCTCTTGCTAGAATAATAATCACATCTTGCGGTGTGTGATTTCTTTGCCTACGCTCAAAAATTCTTAAGAGTGGCTCACCAAATCATTTGCAAAATAATCACTCTGGAAAAATAAGCCAAACGTTCTCAGCAACTGAAACTGGCTGCAGGAGAGGTGGGTTTTTAAACGGCTGCACCAGAGTAAAATCCTCCTGAAGTTGAACTGGTGGCTTCACGGATGCTTCTATGAAAACAAGTAGAGACAGACAAGGGTCCTTCCACAGGACGGGAAGGACGGGCCAGTCTCACCCATGGAAAGGATGCGCTTTGCACTGTCGAGAAGTCCTGGCAGGAAGAGTCATCTAAAACCACCAGGGAAGAAGCAAGCCTTACCTCAATCAGGACTGCCAAGACTGCCAGCCCGCTGGGCTTGTCAACTGCTGATTTCAGATCTGGATATCGGTCAGAGTTGTAATGGACAATATGCAGCTGCAAAGGGGGAATGAAACGGTCACTGGGATTTCTAAGGTTACTTGTTAATAGCCGGGAGAACCAGGCTTTTGTGCCCAGGGCTTCGAATTGCCTTGGCTGAGCCCTGACTTTTGTCTTTGTTGATGACCTGAAATTGTGACTTCAGGGCATCTCAGGCCTTCCCCAGACTTATAATTAGTTCGAGACATGAAACAATGCTGTGGTTATGAATTGAAGGAATTGAAGATAATGACAATCCAGGCTGGATCCGCCCACTGTGTCGGGGTCTTAGGAGGCCATTCTCTGGGACGCCCCTGAAAACTGGGATGATGCAACCAGAGACACAGAACTGATGAGCTGATAAAGACAACTTCTCGGGCTAGAGAACATGAGTCTGCGTCTCCCTGCTGTTCGTCTGGTAATTTTATCCCACGCAGCAATTCGTAAGCAAATGGAGGGGGGAAAAAAGGCAGTTGTTGAATTTGCTTATATGATTATTAGCTGTTTGCAAATGGGAAGTTTGTTGGAGGAAGGAATAAATCAGAAAAAAGAGTGAAGATCAGTGCAGGTTCTTGAAGGATGAAGGTTGGGGAAAATCCCCAGAATTTTGTGTTGAATAAAGGGTGCTCAGGATGGCATGGATAGAAGAAGAGAAAGAAAAGGATAGGGAGCATCTTGGCCCTCTCATGCAAGGAGGGCCAGCATGGAACCACGTGGCAGTCTTTCTCAACCTGGGCAACATGAAGATGGGTGGACTTCAACTCCCAGAATTGCCAGCAGAGTTCTGAGAGTTGAAGTCCACCATCTTCAAGTCGCCCAGGTTGAGAAACGCTGCTGTGTGGGCTCCCTCTCCTAGTCTCTATGTCCCTTGACTTTTGATAGGTAAGGAAGGAAGCTGGGGATCGTGGCAATCAAACCCCAAGACATCTGGAGGGCGCGAGGATGAAGACAGCTGTTGTCTCACCCAACAAGCCCCAGCAGCTGTTCCATTCAAGATGGAAACCATGAAGAGATCTCATGCGATGGCCGACTGGATCCCACAGAAAGGGAGACCGTCTCTAGCTTTTGCAAACAGAGGCCCTGTTACCTGGCAGGGCCTTCGGTGCAGGGACAAGTGTCGCCCCAAAGGGCAGGATTGTCTTACTTCAGCAGCAAAATGCCTCCCGCTGACCGTGTGTTCGGACCCTTCCTGCTTGTTCCGATTTCCCCAGTGTAAGTGGAGCTGCGCTGCTGAGTACTGGAAGGAGAGACTCCGGATGCACATGGCCGAAGAGAGGTTCATTCTTACTATGGAAGAAGAGAGGAGGGAGAAGGCGGAGTGTAAGCCTTGCGGCATTAGGTGCCCAGGAGATATCCCAACTTTGTAGCATGCCAACGGTGATCTTTCTTTAAGGCTCTAACTTGTTAAAAGTAGACTACCCCAGCTTTGCGCCTCCAGATGTGTGAACATCGATGCTGTGATCCCTAGCCAGCATGGCCTGTGAAGAACATCTGGAGGCTAAGGATGTGACTTGATTAGTCATGCTCATGGCTGTTCAGGTTCCCTCAGAATGTCCCTCCTCCATCCTTGTTTGCTGCTGTTACCTGAGTGCCCATTATTGGTCAAGAAGAACTTGACATCAGAAGAGACATTGTAGCCTTCCAGTTCTATTGGTGAAAGGGTGGAGTCATACTGGAGGATGTCATTGTGAAAGTCAATGGGAGACTGGAAGACTCCCCCACATAAGGGGTACTTCTTTGGCCACACCTTTTCTCCATCGGGACCTAGGACAGCAAGACCTCCAGATGGTCAAGTCAAGATATCATTCCATGTCTGCTCCTTCCTTTAGGGAAGGCAAAATGGGTCCCTTCCCCCACTCAGCCTCAACCCCTTGCCACAATAGGCCAGCAGGCACCTGACTTCCAGCAGACAAAGACCCCCTGCACTGACTAACTATCAGGTGCTTGAGAAGAAGTCAGGGGAAAGAATCAGGAACTTTCAGATCCCTGCTGAGCCAGCGATGCTCTCGATGCTCTCTCTCAGCCTCACGCACTGCTTAGGGAGATGGTTGTCAGGATGAAACAGAAGGATCAAGAAAAGCTCTGCTTGGTATCTGAGTTCTTTGGGCAAGAAAAAAAAATCTGAGGAACAGTTTATATCTTGTCTCATCAGCAGAGTTGTATATTCTGCACTTTCGGCTTGGATTCATCCTTGAACTGGGAGATACCTAGTCATGCCATTTCCTGCACAACTCCTCCCCCCTTTTTTTTAAAAAAGGAAACTCCTTCTTTTAAGGCTACAGTTTCCTATGGGAGAAGCAGGGAAAGATGGTCAGGGTTCGGATCTGACTTAGGAGCGACCTTCTTTTAATAGCCAGGAGCCCCTGCTGAACTTCAACTGGGGTCTCCTCAGGACAACCAGGGTACTTCAGCTGCACCTGGGTCACAATGCTGCATTCAGATGAACATGGAATCCAGTGGGGGGGGGGCAATGAGCAATTTGTAGCATTGCCTAGAGAGGCTTAGACTGTTCATCTGCAAGGGTTTGCTTCATAGGCTGGGTACAGAAGGGGAGAGTGTGAATGCCTGCATGTGAACTCTGGGTTGGATAACAGAAAGCTTCTGGGCTGGGAGGGAAAGCACCTTCTTTCTCAAAGGTGGCCCAAAAACTCTCTGCACATCCATGTCCAGAGACGGCTGGGGCAGACTCCCTGCTCTGGTGGCCAAGCTAGACATGGAGGAGGTCTGAGTATCTTTCCTGTGGGGTCCTGAGACGAGATGGGGATTGTGTTAGTTCCCCATATACCTGCACTCGGACTCCAGCACATACTATCTGAGGTGGTCTAGAGAAGCCGCAGGCTCCTACATGCTCCACCCAGACCTGTTTTAATTCAAGTCTCACCTGTCATCAGACAGCAGCTCATGTCATTAATCTGATGGATTTTACTGGCTGACTCACTCAACTGCTTCACCTGGTAGTGACCAACTCAGCCCTACGTGGTAGCTTCACATGACTGCCTTCTGTCAGACCTGGTGGTTGGGCTCACCCACCATGCTTAACCATAAAACTGGGGTAAGAAAAGATCTGGTCTCTTAACATGCAAGGTACAAACAGGTAACCCTAGGACGGCTTAGCAGGATATTCTCGTTCTCCCAGCGTACTGAAACAACTGCTCGGTTCCCACAACACACTCAACCACAAGCCAGCCTAAAGCATCTTAGTGGGTTTCCTGAAGTAATTACTGTGGGTTAGCTGGGCTCAATTATGAAGCCCTCCCCCCCCCAGCATTTTATCACATGATGGCAGGCTTATATAAATGAATGGGAGGTTTTATAGATTGTGGCACCAAATATATCCAGCTATGAACTAAATTATACCTCCCTGGATCTAATCAGATTTGGATCCACCAAATATGATTTAATCTAATAAATTAGAGTGGGGACTTACCAATGTAGGACCACTTTGACCCTGGAAGGAAAATAAAAGGGATAGGAGTTTTAAGTTAAAGCAGCATTAAACCTACCCCATATACAAAACCAGAAGGGTAATAAAACCATGAGGGAAATATTTGCAGCAGAGGTTTTTTGTTGTTGTTTTTGCTTGAAAACATTGTTTAGTGAATAAGCCTGAGTTTGGCAATTAGATGGCCACCGTCCTTTCAAAACCTGCCCCCAGGCAGGGAGCGAAATTTGTATGTGCCGATTTCTGGAAAGCAACTTCAGCCTCATTTCTGGAAATGTCCCTTTGGAGGAAGAAGCAGCACGTTGCTCGCAGCACAACACAGACCCAAATATACGCTAAATAAACAGATCAGGTTACTTCCGTTCACTGAAATAAACATTTCCTGGAGCACCTTGGAGTCTTGTTCCCCTGCTCTGCCTGCCGAGCCCACCTGCTCTCTTTCTCTCCCTCCCCCCTCTCCCCCAGGCAATTCTTCCCTTCACAGTCTCTCTCTTTGGAATGGGGACTTCCAATCCGCCTTCAGCCAAGGGCAGAGGAGGGCTATTTCCACAGACCTCTTCCGGCCTCTCCTTGGGGCTCTGCTCAGAGACCTGGCCAGGAACCTCTTGTGCGGGCCCTGCCTGCCGCGCGCGGGGAGGGTCAAGGCTTCTCTTCCAGAAGGTCCCTGGGAGGGAGACCCGGCAGGTGGTCTCTCCCCTCCCCCCCCCCGTGTCTCGCCTCAGGACTCTCACCTCTGCTAGGAAACGGGCTGGGGGTGGGGTAAGGACCCTATCCGGAGTCCTTCCTGCCTGGTCAACCTCTACAGGTTGAGACCCTCCGCCTGAAGGACGCCGTGACGCCCTCTGGGGCTCCTCTTGCGCTCTTAACCAAACTCGGCTTGGGGGCTTATTTCCAAACCAGCCCGAGTGCCCGGAGCGAGCCTCTTCCTTCGCAAGCGGATTGGCCGCCTGCCCTGGAGATGGAGGTCCCGACCCACGGGGGGGGGGCGGGAGTGGGGCGCGCGCCACCCCTGCTTGGCGCTGGTTGCTCCCTGAATGGAGGGCCCGGGAGGGGGAGGGTCTCCGCAGGGGGTCTCTCAAGAGCCCCGCCCCCCAGAGGTTTGCCTTGTCTTTCTCCGGCTTCCGTCTGGAAGCCTCGACGTCACCCTCCCCAGCGAGCCCTTGGAAGGTTCCTGAAACCATCATCCGAAGCCAGCGCGACGCAAGGCCGTGCGATGTTCTCGGGACGAGCGGCGGTCCGGTCTCTCGCCTGGAGCGGGGCCAGGGTGGCTCAGAGCCGCTGCGCCCTTGCCGAGGGGGAGGCAGCACCACCCGCGGATGGGGGGCGGGGGGGCTGCACCGGCTGGCGCGAGGAAGAAGCCCGGGCTGGGTTAGGGTCGCCTTTCACCCCGAGGAAGACCCCTCCCCGCCGAGGCCGGCGCTTACCGTTCAGCGGGGCCAGCCCGCCGAGGTGAGCGTGGAGCAGGAGAGCGAGCAGGGCGGCGGGCAGGGCGGCGGGCATCTCGGGCGTCCTGCGGCTCCCGCCTCCTCCTCGGCTGGCACCTGTGCGCTTCCCGAGCGACGAGCCTCGCTCTGCCTGCCCGCCGCCCTTGCCCTCGGCCCCGAGCCGTGATGTCAGCCGACGACCGGCCCCCAGGAGGGCCCCGGGAGCCGCCCCTCTGCTGCCCTCCCTCCTGCAGGGGCCGGACTCCCGAACCCATCGCCCCCAGCCTTCACTTCCTTCTCTTTCGGGTTTTTCCCCGACGGGTCCCTTCGCTCCGCATTCCAAGCGATGGACGGGACTTTTGCGCTTGGCGAAACCCTGGAGCGTCAGGAGGGGAGCCGGAGGGCCCAGCGCCCGGGGGCCGACCCCCCTCCTCCCCCCACTTTCGCTCCTTTTGCCGTGCCTGGGCAGCTGCGCGGAGAGTTGGGCCCTTGCACCACTTCAGGGCCGGTTGTGTTGTCCCGCATCCAACTCGATCCTGAGAAGACCCAGTCTCTCGGGAAGGCCCAGCGGGGGGGGGGTTGCGCAGCATGGGATACCTGCAAACGGGGAGGGGTAAATGTCCCTGCGCTTTTCTTTCAGCCTCCTGCAGCTCTTTATGCTGCCGCCTTGACTGCAATTTCAGTGGCTCACAGCAAAGGATGGAAAGTTTTGTATGTGTTTTAGTTTTTGTCCCAGTCTGTGCCTCCCCCCCCCCCATTTCCTTCTAGATCTTTCCCGTCATTCCAGCAGCCACCAAAGCTGCAACGTGCCTGGAGCCCCCAAACTGCAGCTCTCATTTTGCTGTTCTGGAGCAGAACAGATCCTGGGGGCAGGGAGGGGAAAATCTCCCCCTTTCTGCTCTTTTCCCAAGAACTTTTATTTCCCTGTCAGCCACCGATTTAGGCATGATCTTTTTGCTCCGTCCCTGGCTAGTTTTGCGACAACACTCTAGTGTATCCAAACTCAATTTTGGAAAAGCGTCCTGGAAAATAGAAGCAATGTAGTGCAGTTATCCAAACATGCCATTAAAAAAAGAAAACCATCAAATTGCAGCCTTAGATTCCCAGGAATAGGAAGCAGGTGAAAACAAAGAGGGTGTGAGTTGCTGTGGCCAAACCCCCTGCTGGACTTGGGAGAATCCTTTTCTCTGCCTCTCCTGGAAGAGAAACGTGTCTCTGGTGGTTTCAGAGGATGCGCTTATCCTGAAAACTTGGGGTGCCCTTCCAGGGGGCTGCTGGAGTCGGATCCTCCAGAGGGCCAAAGGCTTCCGTGAGCAGAAGTGGCTGACCCACTTCAGCTCTGGCTTCCTGGCTGCCCCCTTTTTGACGTCCCTGAAAAAGCTTTGAAAGCCCCTGCAGCTGCCAAGCAGGCTGAGGGGTCCCTTGGCCAGAGGCCCGGGGTACTCCACTGTATGAGTAACCAGTTAGTTACAAAGCAAGTGCAAAGAGGGCCATAGAGGAGCCTCGCTACTTAGCCTGGAAGCCCTGCTGTGTTACCAGCCTTGCATGATCCCCCATCTCCACCGATGCCCCTCTGAGTAGGCCAAGGCTCTTGCTTGACTCCCCAGTTCCCTTGGTTTCACTCAGGCCAGCAGAGCTACTCTACTCGGGAAAAGCTTTGAGACATCAAAGCCCACAATGAAAGCGGATCATCCCCAATTCTGCCCAAACTCCATTTAACCTGTAGGTGGAAATCAGCCAGCTCACTCCAGCTTGAGAAGGTCCCCGATGGAATAATCGATCCTCAGCTCTTTTCCCTGGGAGATTCATTAATCCCCTCCCCACAATTAACTGAACCTGCCCCCCCCCCAGGAGACGGCTCAGTGGGATCCAGGTGTGGCTGCAGGGCTCCCTCTGCAACACTTCCAAGGAGGCCTCCCCTCCCCCCTCTGGCTACAGGTACCAGAAGACCCTGAGGGAGCTTCTGGTCCATTAGATCAGAAAAGGCCATTGGCCACAACTGTTTTATACATTTTATTCAACAATTTTTTATAGCTGCCCAACTCACACATACGATAGGCGACTCCAGGTAGCTTACGACATTTTAAAAAATTCTACAACAGAAACCAGCCAAGCTGTGTGTATCCCCCGTGAATGTGAAAAAGCTTCAGATTCCTGAACGTGACCAAATCCTCATCCTCCTCTTAGGCGCTGTGGATATTTGTTTGTCTTTCCCCTCTCTGCTGTAGTTAACTTATATTTGTTCCGTTTTATCTGGTCATTGACCAAAATAAATAGTATCTCTGGGTCGATCATTGCCACAGCATTCTTTGGAAATCCCTCTTCCCATGTTTGAGAGTCAAGTCTCTCCCATCCATCTCTGTAGCCCTCTGTTCTCCCAGCCTTCTCACCTCTATTTCATCTGTGTCACGTTCAGTGTTTTAGCTTACAGAGCTCTTCTTCTTCTCAGATCTGATTGTAAATAGGTTTGAGATACTTTACAGGAAATGGTATGGAAATGTTTTAATAGGTAATACAAAAAGTGCCAAATGCCTCTTTTTGCCAAATGCAATTAATATCCCTGGAGTGTTTTATGGAATCTGTGAAAATCGATCTCTCATGCACACTTGGCACTTGTGTCGCCTATAGTCTTCCCCGATCATTTTCCAGAAGAACTGGACTACAACTCCCATCATTCTGATCAGCATGGCCAGAGGACCTGCTAGCTGATGTTATCAGAGTTCACAATTTCCCATTTGGAGTGAGCCAAGAGGGGAAAGAGTGCAGGGAGATAATTCAGGATAATACAGTCACCGATGTCCAGGCTGCATTTTCAGAATTCAAGTGGAAGAGTGTTCCTTTATTTCTTTACTGTATTTATATAGCCACAATGTGACTCTAGGTTTATTGTCACCAAGAAACCAAGAAGAAAAGAACAGAAGAATGAAACAAAAAGTACTAGCTGAAACAAGAAACAGCCATTAATCAGGGACATAAATGTGCCCATCAGGCTGGCTTCCCTCAGGGCAAAGCGTGTTGAGTTTTCCTCTGGCCCTGAGGCTGCAGTGTGATTGCTGGGGAGTGGGGAGTGAACCATGGTAACACAAAGGTCCCTGCCTCAGCACAGACAGGCACTCACAAGTATCTGCAAGCCTTTGCCACACCTCCATTAATCTCACACTTGCACACTCTTTGTGAAGGTGACTTTGGGAAGAGCTGCTGAGCAGCCAGAAATAGTTTTGGAAAATTTCTTGCGTTCCCCAAGGCCAGCCTCAGAGTGACCACTTGGACAATGGCCTGACCCGTACATCAACGTGGCAGTAGGCCCGGCCCCCATTCCTGGCTTCCCACATGAGCCTGATCCAGCAGGATTTACGAGGGCTCAGCGTGAGCCTCCCCAGGCGATGGCATTCACAGGTTGAACCTGGGCAGGTCCCTTGCGAGGGATGAAGGCCACCCTGAGTTCCTTGGGCCAGAACTGAGGGAATATGGCAACAATACAAAAAACTTTCAAATGCAGTCTTCTGAGAGGAGGGCCTCAGGTGCTTTCACTGGGGAGGTTTTGTGGGCAGACCTGCTTTTGCCACAAGTGTGCCAACATTTTCCGTTGTGTTCTATTTTGTGTGGAAAAACCCTGCAGAAATGTTGGACATTGGAAAGCAGACAGTTGGAAGACACGTGAAATTCAGGCTGGAGTCCGGAGCTGGCACACCAGAGATGTCATTCAAATGAGATCGCAGCTCCTGGACGTGACTTGGAGGCCTGCCATGAGAGAAAGCGGAATGAACGGGACAGGCTCCTTCTGCGTGTGCAGAGAAAGTTGCACAACAGGGCTGCAAACCCACCTGTGAAGGAAGCTCAGCAGGTTAATCATGAGACTGAATCGGTAGATGAGTCAGGTTGCCCATCTCTTGACTCTTTCCTCCCAGAAGACACAGCAAGAAGAGGCATTCCCACCCAGCGCAGCAGGAACAGCCAGGCAGCCTCTTCTGAGGCTCTGCAAGCATCTAGGGCTTTAGAAGAGGGCTTCTCAACTTCATGATGGCTGGGGAACTCTGGGAGTTGAAGTCCACCTATCTTCAAGTTGCTGAGGTTGAGAAACACCGCTTTGGAAGCATTTGCATGAAATATTGATTGTGGTCTTCAGCCTTCTTACTGGAGCACCTGCTCAGCACGGCCCTTGAGCTGCCCCTGAGACAGCAGACACAGGAACACTTTCTAAAGTGCAGATGAGTCAGCAATTAAATTCAGCTGAAGCTCTTGACCCTTCACCTGATTCACTTGTGGCTTTGCTCAAGCTCCATCTGTCCATCTCGATGCCGTGACAGTTTATGAGGAAGCCACCGGGCACCCCCCTGCCTTTGCTGCCCAGGCATTTGCGAGCCCCGTGATCTGGCTGGAATGTTTCAGGCCCCACCAAGTGCAAAAGGGCCAGCCGTGGGAAAGCCCGGCTCCCCCTTAGCTTGATCTCAGAGGCCAAACCTGCACGTGACCCCCATTGCCCGATCAGGTTCCCACAGCAATTATCTGCATCTGGTGTATCTTTCCAGCTTGTTTACGGAGGCCTTCCTGGACAAGGCATGGAGCCGAGGAATCAGGCAGGTTGTCAGTTCCCATGTTTCAAGGAACTCCCTTCTCCTCTGTGACCGGCAGCCAGTAACATTTCTCTGCCTCCCCCGATTTTGCAGCATTCCTTCACAAAATGAAAGGCTCTGGCCGAGACCCAGAACCCTGCAGGAAAAGCCTCTGCAAGTGAACCCCTCAATTTCTGGGGAGCTTCTTCCACTGGCATTGCTTAGGGGACCTTCCTGGCTGGCTATGTGCCCCCTTCAGTGACCGTCCCCTTTGGAGGGTCAGTTTTACCTCCCCAGTCTTGCTCAGAACCGACAACCGCAATCAATAAACACTGAAGCAGCTCTTGGGGAAATATGGGACAGGAAGGGGAAAGTGGGGACCCTCACCCCACATTCCCCAGCTTTGTTCGATATTTTGCAGGGAGAAAACCAGGTTTCAATCTTTGTCTATTCCTAGGGTCGTCTTAGACATTAGAAGAAATGCCATAAAAAGAGGGCAACATTTTTAGCCCCGGAAGCAATACATTATTCTTCAACCATTAAAAGCAGTGTGCGTGTGTGTGTGTTGCACCGGCAGACAGGAGCCCCAGATCTCAACCGTGAAAGGACCAGGAGCTTTTCAGTCGGGTTTTCTT